ATATACAAAAGCGCAAATAACATAAAATGTATGCTAAATAATGAAATATTAAATTCTTCCTCTACTTAAAAACATTATTGTTTAATTGCAATTACAAATTTTTTAAATATCAATAAAAATATTTTAATGTAATAAAAATTTACAGTTTATCAAATTTTAGTTATTAGTATGTGTTTTTAATATTATTTGATGATTTTTGAGTTAAACATTTTCGAGGTTTTTTATATGTAAATTAATATTTTAATTATAAATAATATTAGTCACAAGTGATAAATTCTATATATTTTCTATATTTCATAATAAATAAAATAATTTATTATTCCCATGATTTTCCTCTTAAAATTTGCTACTCGAGGCCATTGTTCTCTTTGCCGCCTTAATACAACATATTATTTACAACACTAAATAATATTATTAATGTTTTTTTTTTTATTTTCCAAAAAAACCTCTTCATAGGTTTAATAATTAATTAAATTGTTATGTCGAGTGTTGTGTTAAATTGTTGAAAACACTAAAAATTAAAAAAAAAAATACATGTTCATCTCGAAAAGAAATCGTATCTACTTGAGCATATTGTTTCTAAATAATTTATGTTATTACTTATTTCAAAAAAATCAATAACATCGATCAGAATAGGTAATAGAATATTTTTATCAAGAAAGTTAGATGTTTTTAACACATTGAAATGTTTAAAAAATTATTCATTTAATTGTATAATTAATAATACTGTTATTAATAACATTCGAGTCAAAGATTTTTAATCTTATGTAAGAGATTTTTGTGAAAAAAATATGAACGAAATTTCCAGATGAGACTAAGTTTTGGATCACTCGTTCTTTTGTAAAGCACAAGCCGTTTGATATAATGAAATAAATCCACGATGACATTTGTGGTACGTTCTGAATACGTAATTGTATAAGTAATGTCCTGAATAATTTATGACTATAAGAGAAACATCTAATTTAAAGGTTGAACGGTTTAAACGGTCGCACGTGGTATGCAGCCATTAACATCGTGATGGTCATTCATCGAATTTGTCATCTGCACCGTTTTTTAATGTACCTGCTAGAACTGAAACGATATGATTTAGTATAAAAAACAAAGCACCAACAAAGGGAAAAGAGAGTGTTTGTTTGTGAGCGGGACGACGACAACGACGTCAATCTTATGCAAATACCTTTTTATGTGTGACTATTTTTACGACTGTGAAGTAAAATTACATTCATTGATAAAATTAGAGCGAAAGAAGGAAACGTTTCACATAGAAAAACACAGACATTTTAGCGTCTACTAAGCAACTGTGAAAGTAAATCTACGGAATCCATCGTATTAACCGTAAAATTCGAGGTCACCTTAAAACAAAAATATCATTCAATTACACTCATTCATATGGATATCATCGTTTATTCATAAATATTGACTTTAGGTCTTTTAATATATTCATACTGCCAAACCGTCAAGTCACAAAACAATAGAAATGTGTGTTGAAACACACGTGTACGGTAATAAATTGTATCATTTTCAAATATTTTTTAAGCGGCGAGGGTTGATGCACCTGTGGTTGAAGATTTCAGGTGCGGGTGACCCCACGAAACCATCGAACAAACGGAAACGGGTTGTATGGTGTACCTATCGGGAAGTAGAAACCCTAATCGGGAGCTGTGCCCTAAAAAACGACTGGAGCGCCTAGAATATGTTTTCAAAAAATGTAACACACTAATAAAACTACGGAACGTATGAGCGCATTTTGTCCGACGGTGTTTTAAAATAGAATGAGTTTTTTTTATTTAAATAGCGCTTAAAATGCAATATACGCAGTGATGACATTGCAACAAAATCGTATTAGGTATGCAGTCGAACTAAAATTAGTAGTAAAGTTTTGAACGCGTAGGAAATATTATTTTTTTATTACACGGCAATTAATGGAAAACTCCAAATCGTTGGCCTTTTTTGATTTGATGACTTCGCCTCCAGTTTGCGGGGCAAATATTTTTGATTCATCTATCGCTGTAAAGTACCTCTAATGCATATTAAATCTCCGACAAAACATATTAAATGCAATAATTATTAATACATCTACTTAACTTAATTTTAAAAAATATCGCGTTGTTGATTAGTATTAATATTTTCATTACGTTATTTTTAACCGAGCCGACTATTAAGTACTCTGTAGTCTTCCCATTCATATACAGAGACACGTGTAGAGTAACTGTAGTTTACGACATGGTGTCAAGTATTTTGCCAACTAAGTGACGTTAAGCCGTCTAAAACAATCTTAATAAATAGATAATTGTCACTTTGGCACGCGTTTAAAGCAAAATAATCTTACTGATGTCATCATATTGTTATTATTAGTGCTCAACACGTTAAAACGGCAAATTTTCCTAAGACAATAGATATGTACGAGTTTTTTCGACCACTGTTAATAATATTACACGGTAATTTTAATAAAAATACGTGTGTGACATGTATACTATACTTTTGAGATCAACAGAAAATTTTTAACTAACCAATCGACAATTAAAACGTACACGACAATATTTGAACCAGTTATTATTTTTTATTATCAATTACTATTGTAAAAAAAAAGTTATAACGACAATTGAGAGAGTTTTTTTTTATGAGATTATATTAAAACACTACCGCTAATTCGTGTACGGCACAATATCACAAACGTTTTGTTATAATATTAAATAATGCGTATCTGGCAAACAGGAAACACGGCATTTTCGACGGATCTGAAACTCACAAGCTGTGTAATGTGTTTAAGAACTGGTGAACGGGTTAAAAACAGCCGAAGCGTTGACGTCGAGTAGACGGAAGAGGTCTAGCACGAAACAATACACAGACCAGTAATGTCCCACGGTCGAATTTTTTTTCACTTTGTTTTTTAATACACACTCGTAGTGTATATACATTTTCTTACGGTCACCGACGGCCGACGCGACGGTCTCTAAACGTATTATAGGTACACATTTAATATGTAGATTTGTCCGGTGCGACATAACGTCTTGTTGCTTCTCCACCCACGTGACCACCCAGGTCCTCGACGGTATCCTCCCATTTAATTTGTTTTTCTCAATACTCATAACTAATTAAATCTTTTCCGAGTTCTAATTAACACTCCTGGTCATGCCGTGTTCTCGGAGTAATATACACACTGAACTAGTTGTATAGTATACTAAAAGTATCCTACAACAAATCAATTGTCGTCATTAACCGCGTTCGATTGGTTTTTTTTTGCTAAAATATATTTCGAAATTGTCTTGATGATAATTTACAGCCGATGCGACGACTTGCTTCCAATGCGATTGTAATTCGTTTACAACGAAATGTTTTTCAATTCTTAGTTCTTTTAACATTTGTAATAAAACTAAAAAATGTATTCCGTACATGAAGATCTTGGTGAATAACGATTTCGTTACTGGAACGGTTACCTCGTTAAAGATGATCATACACGCATAGTCGTCGGGCTTATTTTATTGTTGACTAAATGAGACGGTGGCTAATAGTCCGTTAAAGAAGTCATATGTCAGATCATCATTAAGTAGTTTACATCGTTTAGCAATCGCTGTAGTCTCTTTGGATACCAAATTTCACGTTATCACCGTCGGTAGTAAACACCAACTGAACAAAAGTAACTCTTCTTTTCAAAACATTCTCTGTAGTTAATTCACTAATTTTTGTCAATCGACATATACCTGATATTCGTTTTTGTGAAACTCATTAGCGGCCAAGAAATTTTAGTTTAATTACAATCACGTTAATTACTTATTATACATTACATTAATTAACCATCGATGTTTCTTTGTTAAATATTTTATAATTAATAAAGACACTTCCTCTACATCTTATCTCGGGTATGTATATAAGTTTTCTTGTCAATAATTTCAATCCATAAAGTTACATTTAGAGGAAAAAACTACTACGTTGTTGACATAGTGTTTTGAAATAATAAAAATTTTCGTTATTTGAGTTAAGATAAAATAAAATTAGGACGTTTCTATACTTTTTTGAATACCATTGTGTATCATAAATATTATTTGATTAGTTTATTCATAGATATAGAATATTAATATAATTTCGATGGTTCTCGATGGGCAGACAAACTTGACGTGGTACAGGTCTTATATTTAAAAACATAGTCAAAATTACACTAATGGGGTGTTAATACCGCAGAGTCGAAATTCTCTTTAGTCTCACCGAAAGTTTCCGATTCTCACACTACAAAACGTTCAACCACTGCAGTGCACACATTAACAGGTTCACGTTTGAGCGGCCACCCAAAACCCACGGCGTCCTCGTGTACTTCCTCAGGTTGATATTAATAAACAGTGATTTACAGAATAATAGTAGGGTTTTGATTTATGAAAAATAAAACACAACCTATTGGAGTGGGATTGATACGAAATCCAAGGATTTCGAAGAAAGGATTTTGACGGTAGTCGACGCAGTTTTATGTAAACGGAAATGACAACAGCCCGTTTTTCAAGTAAAGTCACACAAGAATTATTTACTTATAAATACGAACAAAACGATTATTTAGCGTTGACAGTAATGCTAGAAGTGGTATTTTGCAAATATTAGCTACCTCAGAATTTGAATGTTTCGATTGGCTTATTTTAAAATGCCGCGCTTTTATCTTTATCCTTATCATTGTTGTTTTTTATTATCATTTTGGATCACCCGCGCCTGTCGGCTCCAGTGACCAATTGGAGCCCCTTTGGGACTCTCGTGAGATGAGGGTTCATGCCCCCAAATCCACAAAGATGGCAAGTCTATATGAACTCGTTAGTCTGGTTTAAAAAATCCAAGGTGCTACGCGCAAATGACAAGAGTTTCGTGCAGACTCAATTCATTTGAGTTTCATTAGAAGATATTATTTTTGTACTCAAATTGAGGTTATTGGGGTTTACTTACTTAAAATGCAAACATTGATTTTAATGTACAGTTGTGTACTCGGTAAAAATAATACTTACTTATGTTATTTTTTGTTGCAGGACATGCATTTTGTTATTTTCCCTCGCACTATCAAGGGTCTTATGTAATGCAATCCATCTTCGATGATAATAGTCACTCTCAGCCGATACGATATTTAAAAGTCAATATAACTGAATACGAGATACCCATATGGGGACGCTGTGAAAAGCGCGTTGGAAGCAATAACTATATTTTGGTGGACGATAGGTACAAAAATATTCACATCTCGATAAAGTTTTATGATATTTAAAAATATTCACCATATATTTCTACTATCTGCATGTGTAGACTTTTCGACTTGGGATTAAAACTATTCATATTATTTAAAAGAACGACAAATTTTATATAGATTTATTTATATTTTTCAGCGTCAAAGATGCGCCATGTATCCGATGTGTAAACTTGAAGCTTCGAACGCCTAACGTGATGAGAGTACACACTGCCGTAGGACCCGAGAAATGTTACATGCAACAAAAGGATGCTGAAGACACGTGTATCAGCGAAAATGACCTACGATACAACGACGAATTGAAAGACATCATTCTGTACAGTGAGTTAGATAATCTGATTTTTTTAATTGCACGCGGCTAAACGGAAAGCTCGACATTGGCGTTAATGTGCCAACTGTGGGCGCTTTCGTGACGGTTCGTCGTTTGTCTATGGTTGCTCTTTACATTTTGGGTGTACGTTTTTGGAAATGTTGTTATTTCGGTAGTGTAATAATGTCACCGTCAACCATTTGGAAAAACGGCTACTGCAGCGTCTTCAGACGAGACGAGATCAGTAATTATAGTTCGATAATAATAACACAGAACGAGTTTCCGGACGGAATTGTGAGAACATTTATGGAAGAATCTTTTGTTAATGTGAGAGTAGTGTCGTTGAAAGCATAAATACGATTAGGAATGCCCTGTGTTTTAGTCGCACAAAATACAATATTCATGTTGGATAGCCGTGAAGTCATATTATTGTCTTTTTTCGTTTGACTAATATTACCAGATATATTTGTGTTCATTTTTTGAAATATTTATCTGCAAAAACTAATGCGATATTAATAATGCCAATTGACCGACATATCATTCTGACTGCCGTGTATATCTAATAGTCAAGTGCAGTTCCGAACTCGCCAAGTGTTGTCAGGAGCGTACGTGATTTTTTAAAATTGTTTAAACGATACACCGTTTAATCATAACGACCCTGTGTTCTTTTCTCGTCTTCATTGTCGTCTATCGTTTATAATAACCATCGACGTTCGCTTATCGTGGGCGGAATTGCATTGGCTAATGAAATTATGGACCACGACGTCAAAGTGCGTTGTGACCAAGAATGTGTTTTTTTAATTTTTTGCATAGNAGAGTGTACATTATGAGCGGGTGTAGCGCGGCCTACACTCTACTCCGCGCACGAGTAGTGTATCATCACAGTGCATGTACCCGCAGTGTGTATTATTGTCGCATTGTTTCCCATAAGAACTTCATTTAGCGTTTTGTGTTTTTATAGTCAAAGATTAATCGGAACGTTATTAACTCGTTTTGATAACGACAATATTTAGCTGTTGCGCCTAAAAAAATTTCAACTAAATTACATTTAGTTTTGCACAAAATAAGTGCACTGATTAAGCCCACAATTACTGTAGAATTGTCACAGTTGTGATTCATTTTCGGGCAGTCGTCTATACGTTTAGTTGAACTCGCGTTTGCATCAACGACCTTATTGGATTTTCCATGTAAAAACTGTACAAAACAAATCTCTAGTATAAAATATCGCTGTAGTGTAATTCACACGGATCCAAACTCCTGAGGATAAGTAGGGTATGGAGTCGTATATGCCTTTCAGAGCGTTTGTTTAGAATGCTACCCAATAGAATCAAAGTTTATAATTTTGGCTTTTAGAACATTTTCATCCAAATTAATTAGATTAAAACTTTATTGAACAATTCACGTTGGATTTCTGTTTAAAAATTAATGCAATATTAACACATTTAGTATGCGTGAAAATAAATGTTTTAATTATTAAATTCTAATTAGAAATACTATTTAGTCGATATTTCGTAGAATATAAGAGATGACTGTAAATATCGCAGGTGTTTCAGTAAATACTCATTCCAATGACATTCATTAGTCAATATATAATTAACCCCCGTGTTTTGTATCCATACAAATGTAACCGAGATGATGTATACAAGTACTAATGGGAAAAAAAACCCTTTATTTTCTTTTAATTAAAACTTCACGAGGTGCGTACATTCCAAGAGGAGTGTGTACATCGTGTCCGAACCACCTGATCCACTACGCGAGTATCCTTCACCGACCGGTATTTTATTATAGTTTTTTAACGACTTGCATGAACTTATTTTCATGTTCGCCTTCATTATCGAGTTAATGCCGCGACACAGACGGTTTTTCTTCAGAAAAAACTCAATATACGAATGGTATAATATAGTGTAGTAATTTCAACGACGTGACGTGCCCCAGAGCCCTGCGACTCACGGGTGGTCCAATACACCAAACTTCCCTTCCATACTATTATTTCTTGAAGCAACAGTTCTCCTTCCACTTGTCTCGCATTTGAATTGAAAAACGGAACTTGTGAAAAATAGTCGTTGATGAGACAAGTTCGTGTTACAATAGAACAAATTTATAAAATAATCGATTTTTATTAATGTTATAGTTTAGTGAAACAACTATGGGAATTTAGAATATTTTGATGCATCATAAACATAACATTAAGTGTTTTCGACTTACGTAGTTTTAATCATAGTAAACATACACTAATGTTATGGCTTCGGTCAGTGTTTTACACGATTCATATGCGCCACCGATTTGTAAATAACGACTGTATTATCACTATTATTAAAGATATAATTTTATTCGATTATACATAAACGAGAGGTCCGCCTGGGGAGCTTTGCCACATATGTGGACTTCTCAGCGTGGGCGGCCGTTAAAATTACATCATATGATGCATAGAATGATTGTCAAGAATGATGCATTCTTGACAGTTTATCATGATATGATTATTGAACTCGAATGCTTTTGAAAAACACCCAGACTCAATTATACTTTACCTATAATAACTGTTTATCTATATTTTATTTCAATATTTAAGCTGGTTAACAGCGGACAATTTTTGAAGATTCCATAGATGTTTTCTGGACAATTATTAAATACAGTGGTTTTCCCATTTGCCTTTTGTGCTAGGATATATAGTACATAGTGTTTGTCGCCGTTGAAATTCACATGTCGTGACCCATCCGATAGCAAAAACGGCAGGCTAAGCTTAACTTCAGATTCTGATAATATCTCAAGTATCCGCTGCACCACAATACAATCCCGTTAAATACGTGTAACAATATTTCATCTTATAGAACGATCTTATTCAATGATTACTGATGAATACTTAGAATAATTATTATTGATCTCCAAGAAAGCAAAATCATTTCAATAACACATTTAACGCTCTTGAGAAAAAAATATTGAGTAATTATTTAAAGTAATACATTTTTACTATTAATTAATTTTTACAAAAATCATTAAATAGTAACTGGTGGGTAATACGCATGTGTGATGATAGGAAATAATGTAAACATTTCACTTTGATGAAGTTGCCTAATGAAATAAAATATTTATCATGTTCTGGCGTTGAAGTCTCCTATGGCTTGTAAAATATCGATTACTCTATAATTTTCTAAAATAATAAAAAGTACACTATTTCTGATGAGAAAAGTTCTGAAAGATTAACTTTATATTTCATTACTTTATTCACCTAAAATTAATTATTAAAAACAAACAATATTTTAATATTATAAATATTAAAATAAATAATAGTAATTTTAAGTAAAACTTAGTTTTTTTTTTACAAATTCATGCAATTGTATGAATAGTGTAGAAATGTTTAAATAGATAAAAGGATCTTCTTTATCTATGATACTTTTTAAATCTATTATGGTTAAATTTTCGGAATAAATTTTATTACGACAATTTTTCAATTATGTCAACTATAGTTTTTAACAGATAACTTCTTGTACATTTGATTTTTAAACATGGATTTTATATAAGTAGAATTTGATTTACAAATTTATCAAAGCATATTTTTTTTATATTACGGAGAGATCAAGTTAATTAAAAAATATAATTAACTAATTTACACCTTTAGAGAATCAAGCTAATTTGTGTACAACATTAAATATTATGAAACAGTAATGAAGTATAAAAGTTTTAATTATAATTATTGTTTAGCAAAGCTAATATAAATATTATTTTTTTAGTATATATTGAATAAATAAATACATTACCTCACACCATACGGATGAACTTTATAAATGATAGATTTTAAATAACATTTTCAATGGTCATTTTTCAGAAACTAAAGAAGCTAGTGGCGCAGATGCTCGTAGAGATTATTGTCCTTTCGTCGGGCAATATTCAGTTCGGTATAAACTTAATGATGGAAGCGGAAAACCAGCGTCAGAATGTTCGTCTTACAATTCTAGAATGTTTAACTGCCCGAAAACCCATCAAATAAATATACGGCTAAATAATTGCTCTTCCGATGACCGAGGTACATTGAAAATAATTTTTAAAAATGGGTTATTACTTTTAATAAACTTGTTGTGCTATTTTTAAGTAAATAATTGTTTATGGCGAATTTTCGTTAAGGTTAACTTAAATTTCAATAAAATCGATAAATTTATTATTTTTTTATTACTTAATCAACTTAATTTTTTTAGCTTAAATTTATTTCCATTACATTACGTTAAACATTTTTACATTTTTTCATATATTTTGTAGAGTTTGTATACGAGTGTTTAGCCAACTGGGAAGGGCCTGGAAAACAACATTATCTCGCATTAAGAATAGGTGACGATAGGCCTATGTACCGTTGTGCTGTAAGTATAGAACAAGATATTTTTACGCCTATATTCAAAATAGTTTAATTTTGGTAACTTAATGTGACATTACAGCTGTACGAAGAAGTGTCTCCAGGAGTTATACACATGTCCTTGTCCAGTGACTCTACATGCACTACCGATTTAAAAAACGCATCATTGGGATATGAAACATTTACATTCACAGCTAAACCGTCTCCTCCATTACCTTTGCAGTATAGAAATAAAGCGTGCAGGTGTGATATTTATCATAATAATTTATATTAAAAAATTAACCGTAGTAATGAGTACTTTATATCGATGAAAGTCGTAAAACTATATTTTAGTTAGAAGTAAATTGTGCATTATATTATAATTAATATTTATATATCACAGATTTCCAGATTGGGCACAAGGCTCTTGGCAAAATCTTCGAGTAGAAGGTAATACCGTGATATATAAAGACACCGATAAGTTTTTGACGTATACTTGGCGCTGTGTAGAATCCTCGGCAACTAATAAAGCTAAAGATAAATTTCTGGTTTATGGTCAAACTCAGTGGTAAGCGAATATATTTGATCTGTGAATTTTTTTGAATTTTTAAACATCATAAACAATTTTTTAGTGGTGTTGATGCGCATAACTGCATTTTGTTGAAGAAACGTGGCCCGAATGTCTTAGAGTTCATAATTGGTAAATTATATAATATTATATTTTTAAACACAGTTCATAAGAAAATTGTTATTTTGTAGGTACATTTTCGAGTGATACATTTAACGAAACCCTTTGTGCAGACCCTAACTTTTTCACTTCGAATTGGAAAACGCAAGGACGTAAGTTTTCATCATCTTTTTATTCTTATTTAAAAAATAATTTAAAATCTTTATTTATTGGAATATATAAAATCGTACTTTCTCAATGAATATAACTAAAGTTTCTAAGTTTTAGGTTATACGTGAAATATATACTTTAAAGGGAACTATCACAAGTTACATCGAAAAATAAAAGATTTTTGATATTATAATTCTGACGTACAAAAATATGTGTGATTCGATATATTTTAGGGTTTTGTATTAAAATAGGAAGTATTTTACTTAAAATAATGATCACAATTTGAAATTAATTTTCGATATTTTCAAGACAGCATATATTTTCTTGTTTACAATTTTTATATCTATTCTTATCGAAATTCTGTTGTTGATTTCGAATCTGGTAACTAAAACTATTTCTTGATTTTTAATAAGATTTATTTAAAATTTAAGACTGTTTCATCAAGCTAAAACGATTTTTTGTTTTTAAAAAATGATTTGGGTGTCATTAAAAAAAAATCTGAAATCTTGAATATAACTTTTTTAATTTACTTAACAAACATTAAGTTACATTACAAAATTGAGCATAAATTCTCTAGTGTGTTTTTATCTTTAAATACTTACATGTTTAATTTACAGCCAAACAAATTTATTAGCTTAATTTATTTAATTTTTATCTGATTTTGTATGAAATTTACTATAAAAATTCTTATTTTAGGTACTGATGGTGCTCAAGTATCTCATTGTCCAATTATGGGTGATTACACTGGAGTCTTACCTGATATTGATGGTCTTTGTGCTGAGTTGGCTTCTAATTGTAATGCTCCAGAAACGATGCACTATACGGTTTCTGATTGTTCTAATACTCAAATTTATGAAGGTATCGTATATTTTTGTATTAAATCAGGGAACATGGTATAAGACAAATTCATAAATGAGTCTTTTTTATATCTTGAATACTTACTAAAATTTTAAAAGACTGAAGTATGAAAATGTTAATGAAATTTATATAAAATAATATTTGATTATCTAATTTTTTGAAATTGTCTCAAAAGAAAAAATTATCCGATGTTTCCTCAAGTAGTAATATTTTTCTTTTATAATTTAACTAATCATTGTACATTTTTGTAGTATAGCTTTTATATTAATATAATTTATCTATATAAGCCTACTAGTCCAAACAATTACTTTTCATAAAGGTTATTGCATCATTAGAAAATCCCATTATTTTCCAGGATACCAACGATCTAATAAACGTAGAATTAGAAATATACCCTCTACAGAAAAATCTGCAAGTGCGTCATCATCCGAATATCGTTATGATTCTACTATGTCTTGGACGATGAGCGAAAGCACTAGTTCTTGGCCATCTACAGTTCCCACAACTTTTTCTTCTACTACGTCAATATCTCAATCTTCTCAAACACAAGCAAAAAATATAACTTCCTCTTCAACGGAATCGACTTACTCGCCACCAACTACTTCAGAAAAACCTTCAAGTTTTTCTACACAAACTTCGATGAACTCTAAAACCAATTATTCTAAAGATAAGGATAGTAGATTACCTTTGCAGACTACTGTTATACCATTTATCTCTTCCACAATAACAATCAACGAAACCACTAAGAACCGTATGTTGAATACGCAACAATCATCGTCATATCCTTCTTTACAGCAAATAAATATTGATTTAACCACTCCTAATTCTTCTAATACTTGGTTTGGAAGTTCAACAACTCAAATCATATCTTCAAATGAAATGACCAGTGGACAAACTAAAGATCTAAATACAACAACTCGGCCGAATTTAGGTGAATTTAAGAGTTCAGACAATCGTCAGATGTCTGATTTCAATGGGTTGAGTCAAACAACACAAAGTTATTCAACTGGAATTGATTCCTCATCTTATCGACCGTGGTCCATGAATTGGCAACATCAGAATATTTATCCTAATGGCTACCAAACATCTCGTCAATATCCCGCACAAGCAACACCCTTTCATTTAAATCCCACTTACAATTATCCGATAGCAACACAATCTCGAGACAGATACCAACAAATTAGTCCCGACCACTCTGGTCAAATTCCATCGCAAAACTTTGAATTTCAGTACCGCAACGAGCAACCTTTTTATCGTAGCTCTGGAAGTCCTCCCAATTACTATAGTGGGGCAACACAGCAAAATACATACAACACCAATCCCACTACTTACTATAATTTTCAAAATGGGTATCAAACTCAATCCGATAATCCCTATCAGCCTTTTAGTGGCAGTAATGATAACTATCAACGTGGTGTAATGGCAGAAAGACCAAATGTTGATCGTCGAACAGAAGTAAATGAAAGTCCTTTAATGCCTTTCCAAAATTATCAAAGCTTCGATTCGAGGAGTATGAACAATAATCAAGGAGAATATTTCCCACCTGGAATTTTTACAACAACTCAAAGATATTATAACCAAAACGTCACAACAAATAACAATAATTATTATCAAAATAGTAATAGGAACGGCAAAGATCAAATACTAAGAAGTGATCCTATGAGTGTCCATAATTATTATTGGACAAGCACTACAATTTCAGGAGAAAGAAAAACACCGATTGCCTTACCTCCTATTCAGTTACCTTCTCAAAATTTTGAATTTAGAACTTCCCAGATGTCACCAAGACCTATTTTTTCGCTTAAACATCATCATGAAGGTACTAAAAATTAGAAAAGACTAATCAAGCATTGGATCACAATCATATCACAACAATAAGGGCACACCTCCATCGAGTTCTATATCAAGGCGTATAGCCTTATCACTTGAATGAATAGTGTTTTATACACTGAGCAATAAAAACACGTCATGAAAGATTTATAAAAATCCACTCAGTTCTTTCTTGATTTTAGGTTAGCACTATACTGTAAGCACACCATTACACTTTAAAAAGTTTTTTAAACTATAATTAAAAATCCACTTACACGGTAAAGTTGCGATTTTCTATAAGCCTACACAATGATTAATGATAAGAATAGCTTTTACCCCAATTGTTTGCACGAAATGATAGCACTAAATTACTGTTTTTTCAGTTTAATACAATTATTAACTTAAACGAAAAATTTCAGAGCGCGATTACCAATGCCTTGGACAATGGGAAGAGAATGGTTTAACCTACACTTATACACACCGTACAGATGCCGATGTTTACGAATGTTTTGTTGGATCAATTATGAATGATGGGAAACTCAAGTTGACCGAAGCCGGTAGGCACTGTGATCGCACTGTCGATCCTCGCAAGACAGGGATGACATTAACGAAAAAAGGTAGATGAGATATAACTTAGCATTTAACCGTCTACTTAATAAAAAAATTTATTTTAATATACTTTTAGTTACAGAAATTATACATATAGATTACTCTTAAAATAATTAAACAATATTATTTATTATTAGGGGTTTGCGATACTTCAAAAAAATTACGAGATGGTTCAACTAGCTTTGTCCCAATCGCTTCAACTTTAGGGCCTCCTGTTTTCCAATCATCAACGCAACGCACTAGCTACACACCAGTTCCTAAACGCCTGCCCGCTTCAACAGTGAAACCATGGAAAGCTATTACAGGTTAGTTGGTTAATTTTATTTTTAAAAATACTTTGAAATGTAACTGTGGTATTGATACGATGTGGTGGTATTGACGAGGATGTAAGACACAGAATTAAGTGCGGGTGGTTGAAGTGGAGAGAAGCGTCTGGCGTCTTATGCGATAAAAGAATTCCAATGAGGCTGAAAGGTAAATTCTACAAGACTGTAGTGAGGCCAGCTATGATGTATGGTTCAGAGTATTGGGCGGTTGATAAGAAAGTAGAGCAGAGAATGAGTGTAGTAGAGATGAGAATGCTTAAATGGATGAGTGGAATGACTAGAAAAGATAGAATAAGGAATGAGCATATAAGAAGAAGTATAGGTGTAGCGTCAATCGTGGATAAGATGAGAGAAAATAGACTTAGATGGTTTGGTCATGTTATGAAGAGAGAACAATCGGAAGCTGTAAGAACAGTTATAGAAATCATTGTTGAAGGATGAAGAGGTAGAGGAAGACCAAAAAAGAGATGGAGGGCTGTTATTGAATGCGATACGAGGACAGCTGATGTGAGCGTAGATGATGTGGGAGATCTTGTCAAGTGGAAGTTTAGGATAAGGGTGGCCGACCCCAAGTAGTTGGGATTAAGGCGAGGAAGAAGAAGAAGACTTTGAAATGTAACTCTAAGTACGTATGTATTATATTTTTACAACTTTGATTATTTGTTACCATATTAACTAATAGGATTCTACTTTATATTCTCATTTGGATTTAAATTTTGAACTATTTTAATTTCATAACGATAATACTTTTCATTTTATTTTAATATTGCAATTTGTTATTTATTAGGAATGCCACCGTCGAAAAATCGTAATATGTCGCAATCAAATAGCTCAAAAATGACGTACAATGCTGTGCTAGCTGTAATCATATTGATAATAACCCAAATACTTAATCTACAGCGGTCATAGTAGATACTCTAGGAATATTAACTTAAACATACTTTACCATGTTTTTATACTTTTCTGTTTTATTTTAAATTATTTAATTTATTTTTTTGCATTTTTATTTGTAAATAACAAATTAATTATTTTTTAAATGTATATTATTGTTAGTAGAAATACTAAATTAATGAGGATGTTAGTTTGAGTCATTTTGAAAAAAAATTAGGATCAAAAAAAATCCTCAGTATTAAAGTAAATATTATAAATAAAAAAAATTGAATAATTTAAGATTCACTTAAGTTATCTTATCCTTTTTCTCTGGTTAAAATGCATTCATTAGCAGTTAATAAAAATTATGATAATTCGTTATAAACATTTTCTTCGGGATGATTCAAACAAAAATTAGTAATTATGGTTTCTAACTATTGGTATCACAAATTAAATATATACAATTTTACATATATTTAATCTATTCCAATAATTAGTACAAGATTTAAGTATAAATTGAATATAAAACGATGTTTGTACTTAAATATTAATTATTATTTACTTCTTTTAAAAATTAAATATAAACTGTATAAAAGTTTACTAAATGTCTCAATTTTTTGAAAAGTTTTTTAACAACATATCAATGTTTAGAAAGATACTATGAAGTCTTTATTTACCAAAATCACTAAAAATAACTGATTACAATCATTAACTTAAAAAAAAAAAGTTTGATTGGAGAAAAATTATGCATTACAAAAGTAGTTAATGTAACTTTTAATTGCAAACATCATGACGTTTTATAATTTATACTCACGGAAGTGGACAATCATTAATATATAAAAATATATTAGTAAAAAAAGTGAGAAGATATGAAAGAGAATGACAAAGCTCTAAATTTCATTATATTGTTAAGTTACTTTAAGATTTTTAACATTGTAGATAGTTCTTATTACATTTGAAGTTAAATGCTATGTAGAAGAATAACAAAAATTAGTTTAAATAATTTTACATTTTTATTTTATATGGTTATTTTAACAATGCTAATTTATCTGGCAACATTATAGCGCGAATGTTCCTATATTTGTTAGAAATAAAATGTATTTTGTAATAGAATTTAAAAAGGAACAAATTGTTATTTTTGAAATAAACAGTTCAAATATGATTATTTTTTTTGTTACCGCAATTACTCACGTAGCAAATCATTTCATTAAGTCAGGAATTTTGTTGAGAAAATCTTAATAAATAAAATAAAATAATAATTATTATGCAAGTTAATATATATAATTATGGTGTAACTGTAACTTATTCATAAGCAGATTACAGTTTCCTCTTCAAATCCCTAGCTTTTATCCCAACTACTTGAGGTAGGCCATCCTTATCTTAAACTCCCACTTGACACCATCTCCCACATCATCTCCCACATCATCTACGCACACATCAGCCGTCTTCATAATGCATTCAATAACAGCCCTCCATCAATTTTGGTCTTCTTCTACCTCTTCTTCCTTCAAAATTCATTTCCATAACTTCTGATTCCTATATCTTAATAACATGACCAAACCATCTAAATCTATTTTCTCTCATCTTATCTACGATTGACGTTACACCTATACTCCCTCTTATATGTTCGTTCCTTATCCTATTTACTCTAGTAACTCCATTCATCCATCTAAGCATTCTCATTTTTGCTACACTCATTCTCTGCTCTACATTCTTGTCAACCACCCAACACTCTGAACCATACATCATAGCATTACAGTCTTATAGAATTTACCTATCAGTCTCATTAGAATTCTTTTATCGCACAACACACCTGTTTAAAAGTTACGTGTTGTGGGGAATTCAAAGGAGTACAAAATTACGGAGCGGCGCAAGTGTCACATGGCTAGGTGATGTTATTATTTTATTTGTGTTAATGTCCCAACTATATGTAATTATTTGACTTGAATATGCGTAATATAATCATGTCATTAGAAAAAATACAATAAATAGTCTTTAGATTTTATTATTTGAGTGTCAAATAAAACACCCGAGTCGTCATTTATATCCATAGTTAATTAAATTTATATAAAGTATTGAAAGGTCGCTTTGGGACAAAGATCAATTGGTTCAATAAGTTCAATTTAACTTACTTATATTTACAACACCAGACGCTTCTCTCTACTTTATCCATCACACTTAATCCTATATTATGTATCCTCGTCAATGCCACCATTCTTTTGCACAACTGTTCCTAAATAAGTATTTACTATCTGTAAAATTTTGTTTTAGTTTTTAAGTAACAGTATGGTAAGCGACGGCGGCACATACACTTCTTTTTGTTGTATTCTTCGTTTACCTTTAACAATGTTATATTAAAAAGTTATTGTGCGTTAATATAAGTTCCGTATCTGTTTTGTGTTAAAATTATAACAGCCATTTATATAAGAAAATTTTTACCACCAATAGATCATAATTATTAGGGCCGTTCTGAAGCAAAAAATTATAGTGGAGGTTAAAAATTTATTTTTACATATTGGATAATTATTTTAAAATGTTTCTACTTTATTTCAATAATTATTTTCTGGTTGCATTCTTTTATATTAAAAAAACCCTGCACAGTGGAGTCATGGTACAGAGGGATGTGACATAGTTGAGTCCAGTATAGATTTAACTTGATAGTGATTAAAATCACTATTATAAAAAACGTTCCAATGCAAATCTGTAGTGTCTATTTTTCAAAAAATTGGTGGAATATTCCAAAAGTAAATCTCCTGTTTCCTTATTAATATCCTGATTATAAAATTTATAATTTATTAGTATAATTTATGAATAAATATTTATTATAGCAATTAAATAGAGTATGAAATGATATTTAATAATTTGGTATTGTAATTTTTATAGAGAAATTATAAAAAATTATAAAGTAGATATTACTTTTATAGCAAACATGTATAAAAGATGAAGTGCTTGATGCAATACTTTCAAAAAAAAAATTGTTTGTTATTCATAAATAAATTTGCTGGTCTACAATGAATTTTCATCCTAGACCAAAAAATATTTTTCTAAACCCATTTTTGCGGCGATTTCATATCTGAAATTAGATTTTTGCATATAACCTAAATAATAACAAAATCTTTCTAATTAATATAACAAATATTTATGTTTAATTTTTGGTTTAAATATAAATAATTAATAAAAATATTATAATTAAAAATAAGTTGAAAATGTTTTACTTTCTATATGCATTTTTAAGTTTTGAACCCTCCTGTTTAAAGGGTAATAGTCCGATTAAAAAAAAAATATTATAGCATTATAAAGTTAAAAATATAAAAAAAAATGTTATACAAAAATCGTATATTTTTTATTAACTTCGATGATTAACCATGAAAACAAAATAAAGTTCGAATTTTTTTTTTTCATAACAAAGTATATTACACAAGCTTAAATTTAAGATGTACATAAAAGTTTCAGTATTTCCGGAACACTTTCAAAAGGTAAGTTGAAAAAGATGTCATTTTGAATCCTCTCTTTGGTCAGGTAAAGAGTCAGATTTATAAAAAAAATACATACAAAATGATAAGTAAATATCTTATGTAACTATAAAAAAAAATTATATTTATTGGGTTATTTTTAAAAAAGTTATGGCAGTTTTAAGTAAAAAAAATTGAAAAAATTTCGAATATTATCGATTTTTAAATTTGTAATTTGTTTTTAGATTTTCCCCATTTACGGAGGACGAGGGAATTTTTTTAAATGTTTAAGGGAAATGCCTTTGACTAGATACGATTTGTGATCTTTTGACGTATCTTTGAAAGAAATCGTTTTGGTGAGAGCTAAGAGAAAATGGTAACAGGCCCCAAAAAAATCAATAAAAAAAAAACGCATCATAGTAAAATTAATGCGTTTTCAGCTTCACATCGAAGTTAAAATTGCGGACTCGAACGATGAAATTTTGCCTAGTGGAGGAGTGTAACACCTCTTTCCGGACAGTCCAGATATGAAATTACAACTTTAATTTCATAACTAAAATTATAATTAATTAACGAGGGTTTGAATAACCGAAGTTCCATTTTATTTTTGATAAATCCTTACTTACAATATTGACACGTTTGCATAGAGATATCGAAATACCAGGTATATAACTAGATACTTATTAATTTTTTACTATTTCCCTGTAAAAATTACATTACTAAATTATTTAATATCAGTTTCTTTATATCGTTAATTTTTATAATAAGTATTTATTCATATATAATACTTATAAATAATAAAACTTGTAATCAGGATGCAATTAAGGAAAAATGACAAATTAAAATTAAAAAATTAAACACTATCTATAGATTTGCGAAGAAGTGATTATAATCACGGTCAAATATCATCTATACAAATATTTATAAATTATTAAATACATTTCTGTTTTCCCCTTGTACCCTATTAAGGGTGTCAACTTTATTTATTTCAATGGCAAAATACATATTTGACTGGTTTAAAAAATAAAAAATAATCTAATTAAAAAAATGCCTGGTCGATAATAACTTAGGCTGTAGATGAAACGTGGGCGATGTTATTTCTTGGGCTCAATATTCCTCTTGCCTAAGTATAAAAATGTCAATAACTTCCGAAGTACTGTTTTATATGAAGCATAAATTCTATAAACTATAGTTTATAACAAATTTTTATGTATATAACTACTGCTAACATCCTACTTACCTATAGTTAAACATGTATGTTACCCTTAAAAAAATAAAATTAACACCCTTTGAAGATATAACGAATGAACCGAAAAAGTACTTGTAAAAATACCAAAACAAATATTCCCGAAGTTAATTTTATTGTGTAAAAGATTCAGTGGATTTTAATATACGGTTCGCCTTGTAAAAAAGGCGTACGTTAAGTATAAAACCTCTTTTTTAATTTATAAGCACATGTTCTATATTTTAAAATACAAATTTTGCGATAAGTATAAATTATATAATTCAATATCTAAGATGTTCGAATAGTATAAACCTTTAAGTGTGTATTATGAAGATATGCGCAAATAGTAAAGCTTTGAATCCTTCGGTGTGGCTTAAAAAAAATTGTTTATGAGGACTAGTGCCACGCTATATTTTATAATTTTAGATTATACACCAGATGTGAAGATTTTTATCACTTTTCTATATCTCTCCCTAAAAAATATATTATTTAATTAGGGGATCTGTCAATGTTTCTATGGGGGCTGAAACCCCACAGAACTCATACAAACTATACTAATGTTTGTATCTATTAATATTGATTATACGTAAGTGTGATCATTGAAGTAACATTTTTTAAATCATTGAATATCCTTTTATTCTCTTCTATAGATATGTATTAACTTAAATGTATTAGTTGCTTTACCCCTAGCACCACGGATAAAAGTTTTGGAGTACTTCTATCTTAGCATCCCATTTTATTTTTTCCAGCGACGGGTATAGGAAGTTTTCAATCTTCCTATTTACTGCTCATAGTCAACTTCCCTTAAAGGCAACTATTAGGGACTTCTGAGGGAAACCCAATTCTACTAAAGACATATAATTATCTTGGAATGTACTATATATGTCGTTGTTTATAAGGACGTTTCATATATTTTAAATTTTAGAATTTCTTAGGTTTCGCCGCCCAAATTTGTGTTTATACACATAAAAAGAAACCATAAAATATTTCATGTCGATCAGACAAGTTTAGACATTGACTTGAGTTTAAAAATTAACTAAAATAAGATGGTTTTTTTTAGACTTTACTTGTAAATTAGGGCTCCAAAAAATGTATAGGAACTAAATTGTAACTGTTTTATGTAAATTTTAATAATGTTGTAAAATGATTTATACAAATTGTTTTGTGTTTATCAAAACTGTGTGTACTTAAATTGGAGAGCGAAGTGAGTAAACGTGTGAATAGGGACAAAAAAGTATGTCTCAAAAAGATATCAACTTAATTTTAGGTTCGACTCTATTCCGAGAAGGTATTGGAATTTCAAAATGGAAGTGTACATTTTTAGATAATATAATTTATAGAAAATAATCCCATAAATAAATTACTAGTTAGTAAAAACTTTTGAACTATATTTTTTAGAAAATATAAATACTTCTCTGTATAGGTAAAAGGACGCGCGACTGAGGAATGTCTATTGATAAAATTAATCATAAAACGCACCACACCTCTATATTTTATAGAGTTAATAACTTACGAAATAATTCTAGAGTTGTGAATAGCCCATTTTCTTGCCAAAAACTTTTTTATTCAATCTTATATTTTTATAAAGCAATAGAGTGGTCAATCATTACTCTGTATATAACGAAATTACATTTGAAAAATTGATTTTTCAAATTGTCACTAACATCAAATAGTAAATAGCTTCCAGTTTACCATGTGAAATTGAGTGACCGTTGTTTTTGTTTTAAATATACAGTGGTAAGAGCAGTTGTAACATTAACCGGATTGAACATGTCACGTGCATTTTAGTGTTCATCATTATGACAGTGACGTAATATAAATATTTTCAATTCATTGTTATTAGTTTTACCTTATTTCATATTACGGCTCAGAGATGCCTTCAATTTTGTCTTCTTAATTTATTGAAGCACCCGGATAAACTTTTCATGTTAACTTAAGAGCTTTTTTAAGTTTGTAGAATATCCGTTGAGCATAATCAAACTGGAGAGAACATGTCTGCAAGTATTATTTTTCAGTTTAAAATAACTCTTAAACGCATTAAACCTAATATATGGCGTCGCATTCAAGTGCCTGGAAATTTTACGTTCTGGGAACTACATATGGCCATTTCAGACGCCATGGGGTGGCAAGACTATCATTTACACCAGTTTGAAGTCTTGAATCCTAGAAATGGCCAAATAGTTCTGATTGGTACACCCGACGACTTCGGTCTCGTTGAGGTAATTAACGGAAAAACGGTTAAAATAGCGGACTTCTTTTCGGCCCCTAAATGCAAAGCCAAGTATGAATATGATTTTGGCGATGGTTGGGATCACGAAATTCTTCTTCAAAAAATTTTACCTGCAATACCTACAGTCGAGTATCCTATTTGTGTGGGTGGTAAACGTGCTTGCCCTCCAGAAGATTGTGGAGGTACATGGGGTTATGGAGAGCTTTTATCGATTATTTCTAATCCTAACCACGGAGAATACGAAGAACGTAAAGATTGGTTGAAGTTGATTGGTTATACTAATGGCGAGTTTGATTCAGAACATTTTGACCCAAAATCCGTTTATTTTCGCAGTTTTAGAGATAGCTGGAACCAAAGAAATTTTATTCCATTATAAGTTATTGAAGTTTTCACATTTAAGTAAATTATTTGTTTTATTCAAATTCTATAATTTCTGAATCATTTTTCATTAAGAAGTTTGTTAAATGTTTTCTCTAAACATTTTTTTTTTTTGTGTACAAAGATTTATTTTTGAGTATTTGATTAAATTATAAATTATATAGAAATTGTTAAATGTGATTTATAATATATTTTAAACTAAGTTTACTGATATTATATAAGTTTTTAAGAGTTGTTGAAGAAATATAAACATTTTACTTTGCATTTTGTACAGACAAATTGTTTTAGCAATATTTTTATGTATTAAGGAAATACTGACAATTGTTATATAAAGATTTTGTTTTAACAGAAATCTAGTGTTTATTTTTTACATTTTTTGTGAATATATATTAAACCAATTAATTGATACAAAATATTTCTTTTTTATTTATTGTTCAAATATCATCTTTTCATAACATGTAAAAACTGCTCAAGTATATTGAAAGCCAAAATATTTCTCTCATACAAGTTAAGAATTAAACAGAAAAATTTCTATATAAATCCAATTTATAATTAGACCACAAAGTTAAAATGAATTAAAAAATTATACTGAAAACTGATTTTTCATTAGCAATGTTAATTACTATTAAGAAATATTAATACTCGATTATACATATATATATTTGAGCTTTTTATTGGCTATCAAAAAACCATTCAAATGCATGATTGTATGGATGAAAAATTATTCATATAATGAAATCACAATATTCTGGAAAAGAAAATTTTCATTAGTGATTTCATAAAACTTTATGTAAAATATTCTTGGATACTGAACCTAAAAATATTTACCAAAACTCCATGAAATTTTATTCTAAATGGCCATTCATTTATCATAATTTACGATAGTGTAATATCAAAGATCTTCAACTTTTAACATTTTAAATCTGCAATAATAGAACAGAATTAATTACATAGAGAATTTATTTATTTATGTCAAGAAAGTATTATCTATTATTGTTGAAGTTAGTAATCAATATAAAATTTAACAAGTTTAATTTATGTTACTTTTATGAAAAATTTTCTTTCTCGTTTTATAATTATTATTAAAGTTAATTGTATTGCAAAATACATGAGCAATGCAATAAGATGCTGGCTACATTAGCAGGTTCAGATTAAGGGGGAGACTCATTGGCTCACGAGAAATTAGGATATACTAAGAGAAAAAACCTAGTCTTGTATCCTATCTAATTGGTAAAATAAAAAAGTTCAAAATTATATTATTATTATTAATTTTTTATCACCTGTAGTATTTATTTGTGTTGTAATATAATATAAAGATTTTGCTGCACTTAAGGTAATATATTTATAATATTTTTGTATACTAAAAAAAAGGTTTATAGGTTATTAGTTAAAAGAAAAGCCCTTATTATTAAAACAAAAAAAAATTTCAATTATATATTATATGCTCCCAGTCTAATAGTGTATGATGTCTCCAGCATACAATATTTATTTTATGTAATGATAGTCAAATAAAATGTTTTATTAAAAAAAGGGAGTTGCTAAAAATATTTTTTTGGAAAATTTTATGCTTATAAATTTGTAACTTATTGAAAAGTGAAAAAATAAATAGTGTCAAGAAATTAGTTATTTATCAAAATAGTACTAACTTTTATAAGAGGGTATTAATCTATTATTGCCTATTTTATTCAGTTATTAAAAATTATACTTAATTATTTTTAAGTAAAAATTCTATTCACCTTCATAGTCATACATTAACCATTTCTTCAACTAGAACACATCTTTGTGTTATTTATAAGAACACGAGATGCACTGATACCTAAAAAGGACCAAAAATGTATTTATTGCTATAGTCTATAATAATAATATTCAGCTTGTAGAAATAAATACAATTTAAACAATAGAAATAGAAAAATTATTAAGTAAAAGTAATTGAGAAATGTTTAATCAATATAATATGTACTGTCAAAAAGGGAAAATAGTGGATTTTGATTATTTAATCAATAGTAAAAATTAATAACTACATTAACAGTTATATTGTCCTTAAATTGAGTTATAATAATTAGTTGTTGGCATACAGCTTATCAGAATAACATTTTATAATGAATAAACTTAATTTAAATTTAATTGAATAGTTTTATTTAAAAAAATGATTAATTGATATTTAAAATGAATAAATTATTTAAATTATGTAGTAAAGTATAAAAAGTCAAAACTTAAAAAAGTAAGATTTAGAATAGTACAGATATTTATTTATATTTAAGTAATATTTATTATAATTTTTTTCAGATGCTATTTAAAATTAATAATTTGATAAAATCGAAGTTTAATTCGATTTTAAAATAATTATAAATTGTTTAAAAAACTAAAAGTAAAAATAATAAATTTATGAGAGATACTGTGATGATAAAAATTGACAGGTTTACAATTATGTTTGAAAGTTATATTACTTACTTGAGGAATAATACAGAAAATGAGTAACTAAAATTATTTACCATTGATGGACCATTGATTGTACAATATTAAGCCATGTTCGTCCCAGAATATTTTGCATTATGATACACATCAGATGCTAATACAATTATACTATTTTGAAAATTTAGTTAAATTTGTTATTATATTATTACTTTTATCAAGTTTTATGAGAAATTAAGTTTTTATTTTATAGAAAATATTGGATGCTTAATAATTAATATCTAGAAAAAAGTTTGGCATCTTATATTTTAATATAACTAGTATGTTAGAAAGTCTCTATCATTAAAAAATATAGTTAAAAAAAAGTTAATTCTGTTTTCTTTTAATTAACTTTAAAATAAAATAAATTTATTAAAATATAAATAATAAAATTTAATTAAAATGAATTTTTAAAAAACATGGGTTTTTATATTTGTTCTAAGTAATATGTTTTTAAACTGTTATTATAAGAATTATATATCAATTTTGCATTTGCCTTAAAAAAGAAAACATACAAATTACTATTAAGTTCACAGTAACAGTATATCATATCATCCAAGTAAATATTACCATTTTTTTCATAGCTAAATAGAATATTTTTCTAATTTTATATTGAATAATAAATCTATCATTATTATTATAGTTGAAAAAAAAGGGATATAGAAATAATCATTTTAGAAAGTGTTGACTCTCATAAATAATTAAATGTATGTTAAAAACCTATAAAAATATTACATTACTAAGACATAATATTAATTTTAAATTAAACATTAAAAAAAAATAAACATAAGCAATTAAAAAAAAACTGAAATTTTTTATAACACATTCAATATTTATATTACTCTACTTTTAAATTTTAATGTATGTATCAAAAACTTAAATTATTAAATAACTTATAGTAATATTGTATCTTACTAACATAGTTATTCAAATATAAGTAAAAATTGTGTCATTATATTAATAATGATAATATTGTAAAAATCATATTTGTATAATAAATTTTTAAAATAGTCGTATGAAATATTTTCAAAAAATAAACAATCTTAGAATTAACTTAGCATATTTAGATATTTTTCTATAGAGCTAAGTTACATGATATGAAATTAATAAAGAAAATCAGTAAATATTTTGTATTTCTGTACTACATCACTAAAAGATTATCAAATTCTGGACTGACGATCTTTTATTGAGTACTTAAGAATAATGTTGATTTGTCAGGATTTACTGAGATTTATATTTTACGTCTAAGTACAAAATGGTTAAGAAACCTCATTAAAAGAAGTAGCAATGGTTGTTTATAAGTTTTTTAGGCTTAAAAAAATTGTTAGCATCACATAAAAACTTAACATTGATAAAATATTTATATAATAATTGTATAAAAATATATAATTTAAACTATTGTTAGTTTGTTGAAATAGCTTTATCAACTGTTAAATGTTCTATTATTTAAGGTAAAAGTAAAATTATATTAAAATTAATTTATAATAAATACACTTCTTGAATTTAATGGATATCATTATTTTATAAGGAGGAATGCAATAAAAATCATAACAATTAAATGTATTTGATGTAAATATATAAATTATATATTAAATGTTTCAATACAAAACCATTGTTTATCATTATTTAAAAATACTTAATCAATAAATTTCATTTGCAGTAAAAATTATTTGTTAGGCCAAATATTATTTTGAATTGTAATGAATATAGTAATATTATAATATAATAGTATTGAAATATAAATTATAAAACTATGGTAAATAAGAGTTTCAAGTTAATATACCTTATAACAATGTATAAATTTTTAAACTTATATTATCTCCACTAAACCTTAATAATTAATATAGATAAGGAAAATTACAATCCATTAAAAAATAATATATTTTTAAAATATATTCATGTTATATTTATGATGAATTCAATACCAAAAAAATAATTATAAGAGGTAAAATATACCTTAATTAGTGTCAGTTGGAAACATACTAAATAATTTTTTTGAATATGTAATATTTACATTAAAAAAATTATGTTTTCTTATAATTTTAATAGCATTATTATGTTCATGCTAACTAATGAAAATAACTATAATTTTTTGTTAAAAAAAAGAACAAAATTAGTTATAATAAATAATAATCTAGATACAAATATTGAAATATTATAAATAATACATATATTTACAGCTATTTACATTAAATGAAATAAAATAACAACTGTCATCTGTAAAATAAAACCTACACAGTTCTACATTAAATATATAAATTATAATTAAAATAAACCACAATTTCAAATGTTATTGACTTATATTTAAATTTATTAATCCTCTGAATTCCAAATACAAAAGATCTTTATAGTTATTAACAATAATTATTCTTCTTATTATATTTTACTTTATTATAACTTACCAGAATAAAATTCATTTTGATATTTTAGTCATTAGTATGTTATACCATAATTGTAAGCTGTATCAGTTTTAGGATAAATGGCAGCACTTGATTGATTATAACTGCTAGCATCTAATTAAATACTAGTTTTCAGTATACACATTTTAAATTTGTTCATAATAACATTTAAAAATAATAGTATAATTAAGAAAGTTAATTTAGTATAGAATAAGTAAGGGTGTTTCGATAATAACTTTAAAAAAAAATTAAAATATATATTTAGATTATCACACAAGAAGATGTAACAAAATAAATATCAGTTTTTTCAATATCAATAATAATTAGAAATTAATCTAAGTGCAGTATTGTTGCCATTTTACAAGCTCTTTACAATTAATTATAATTAATTTTCTTTGTGATTATAATAAAATAATTCCAGACAACTCAAATTTTTTTATAAATTAAAAGTGATTGTTTAATCCTAATTTTATTTTTTCTACATTCTGTATTATAGGTAGGTATAATGAATACTACCTTTACAAATTATCTCAAAATAAAAGGTTGTATTTGGAAAGGTTAGATTACCATTAATTATGAGACAAATTGTGAAACACCAAGCTTCCAATACATCATTATTTATTTATTTATTTATTTATAAATTTAACGGGCATAGCCCTTTTTTACAATTTAGATTAATAACAATTTAAACATACATAACATAAGTGAGTAATTCAACAGAAACATAAATAACATTACGGAGTAATTCACAGTGATTCAACAGAAATATACGAATATAGGTATATAAAAATACAAGCTGCTATGAGGTACAAAAATAAGAAAAATAACAAAAATACAAAAATAAGGTGGTTAACAAGATAACATAAGTGGGTCCATATTGGCACTATTTAAAATTCTTCTAATGGGCTCATTTTGTAAGTAATTGGTAGAACAAATGGGGATAAAAAAAAGAAAATAGGAACGAGAATTTCTCTGAGGAACTTTAAAATTTATTAAATTTAGAAGATATGGTGAATCAATATTTCCATTCAGCAATTCATTTAGAAATTTAATGCCTGCAGCAACTCTACGATCAGTCAGTGACGATAAATTAAGGTTGTTTGCAACTGGAGAATAATCATGAGGGTCATGTTGGATACCCAATATAAATCCAGCATGCCGCAAAAATCTCCGTTGTACCCTTTCAATTTGGGTGGCATCAGATAAGGAACGAGGGTTCCAAACAATAGAACCATATTCTACAATTGGCCGAACCAATGAAGAATATAATATTTTTAGCGAAGAATTTAGTTTTAAGTTAGCAGCTAATCTTATTATAAAGCCGAGCTTTTTCAACGCTTTACAGCATTGTAGAAGAATTACATTTAGAAACACTATTATGTAGCCATACAGGTAAAGCAATAAAAATTTTAAATGCCGAGACTTTACTTAACTTAAGAAATAACTACAAAAATTAAAAATCACTGAATAAAACTAGATTAAATCTTAAATAAAGATGTGATTAATCAACAATGAAAGATTACATTTTAACAACTTTTGAACTCTGATCTTAATTTTGTTACACCTTTAAAACATGATAAATTTTTTATTTTAATATTTTAAAAGTTTAATTGACAAGCCTTTAATTTTATCTCAATGACACCAAATATAAAATACACTATGTTTTCAAATTCTTATCATGTATGTCATTATGTCCAATCTATTTTGTATTCATCTCTCTTCATTTATTTTAATAATTAGATCACTTATTTTCTTAATTCAGTCTTAAAATAGTTTTGTTTCATTAGGATTTGGCTATCCATTCCCCAGATAATAAAACAGTAGACCAACTCGCTATCTCAATCTCCTCCTATTTAATTTCTCTTATTTCTAATATTCCTTCAGCTAATTTACTTTGCTGCTTTTGGCAAACCGTTTTCAAAGCTTAGCAAGACAACTGGTTAACTATAAATTACATTACTACTTTTTCTTGAACTGTTCAAAAAACTCCTAATATTTTTTTACTCCTGGGTTTCATAATTTAGTTTTATCAAGATACATAATATCTTCTTATTTAAAAATTAGGCTTAGCAACCACCTTATACCATCTCTCTCTCTCTCTCTTTAAATTCTGCTTCATTATGATCCTACACAAAAACAAATCACTTTTTGATTATTCTCCTTGACTGTCCTGCGTATATATATTTTATTTAAAGGTAAAATAGATTTATTCTAAACATTAGCAATAATTATTTTAATTTATATTTTTTAACTAACCTGTTTGATAAACATTGTTGGTATTACTTTGATACTGCGTTGAGGGCTGTGAAGCTCCATAATTATATGCACTATAATTATTTTGTTCTAAAACAAGTTGAAAATTTAAAATATGAACCATAATAAAGTATAAAAAGTTTTTTTACCTGGTTTGGAATAAGTATTGTTAGCCCCATAAGAATCAGACTGATTATTAGTGTTTTGTGAATAACTTACATCATATTGTGCTTGTTGACTTGGATATGAATTATAATTACTTTGTTGTTGGTTATATTGTCCATACGTCTCTCCATAATTTACTTGGTTTTGATAGCCAGGAGTAGTTTGATTATAAGGCTGTGCTTGGGAGAAACTGTAATAAAAATACAATGGATATTAAATACAAATTTTAATTTAAATACTAGAAAAACAACAATCATTTAGAAATTAAAATTTTTTTTAGTTTTTATATAAGCTAGAATTTCCAAAGAATAAGTTTAAGTTTATTTTCATAAGCTAAATTTAAAAAAATTAAAAAGGTTAACTTTATTATATTTTTTTCCGAAAAATGATGTGTAATTTTTTGTATATATATATTTCTTTTTTGCATAGGAAAGGTTTGAACTACATGCTTATTTAAATATTTAGAGTATGTAAATGTATTTTGGAAGAAATAGACATAACATGAATGAACTAAATTAACAATATATATTATATATATAAGAATATATCGTATATTGTAGGATTAAGAATTAACAAAGAAATATCAATATTTTTATACAATTGAGTAAAAAAATGATATTTACAATTTTTAAAATTACACAATTTATCTTAATATGGTATGTTTGGTTTTCTTCCAATAAAAGAAACACTATAAAATTTAAACTTTTTTTGGATGATTTTGTATGTTATAAAGTCCAACTTTGTATTTTTATAAAGTATGTAGTTTAAATTTTTATATATTATTTTTTTATTCTACAGAATAATTATATAAACTCTAGTTTTTACGTAGTTAAAAATAAAGATTGTCTGTCAAAAACTTACTCATATTGATTTTGTACTTGTTGTGGAGCAGATTGTACTGCCACTTGATTATAATTTTGTAGATTATTACACTTATTGTACTCCACGTTGTATGAACTATTTAAACAAATTATATAGTTAGCTAAAATTATTAATTTTTTGTTTTTTAATTTATTGTCTCATTTTTTAAAAATTTTATTGAGTAATATTCAAAAGTATATATTATATACATACATATTTATTTATATATTGGACAATTTGAGTCATTATTCATACTATTACAATAATATTTACAAGAAATCAAGGAAATTTAAACATTTAAAAAAATGTATAATATTATTTTAAGAGATGTACCAAGTAGTAAATATGTGTACTAATCGAGTACAGAGTAAAAGGCGAGTAGCCAAATTTCCAGCATTAATGATATAAAAAGATCAACATAAAATATTCATTTTTTTACATTACCTCTTCATTTAGGTTAAAACCAATATATATGTGTAGGATATAAGGCTTAAACACTCCATATCAATAATATTAGGATAGATATAACTCAATTTCAAGTTTTATTAAAATAGAATATTTTAAATAATAAGAGATAACACCTCATCAAATTTTTTGTAAAAAAAAGCTTCAAAATTGCAATAACAGAACTTTTGAAAAATTTAAAAATTAAAAACATGATAAAATTGAAAAAGACATCATACTATTCATAATTATAAAAAATATTTAATTAATTAAGTTTATATTTAGATGAAGAATATTTAATTTTAACAATATTCTGAAGAATTCTATGCAGTGTAATATTTAAGGAATTGGTGTCATAGAGTTATAAAAACTTCTTAAACAGGGGCTTTATTTAATTTTTTAAAATTTTTTTTCTTATATCATTTCAGATCTTCACATAATCAAAGAATAACTAAAAGAAAAAGTGATTCACATTGGAAATTTACTGAATAATTAAAAATATATAATATACTATGTTTTAAACATAATATGTTGCGATGCACGCCTTGAAAAAAAATCTTGTGTATATTGCTGTTTCTTTGCTTAGTAATGTTTAATACTATGTATCACACTATTAGTGTTTTAGGGACATATGTCAAAATCTATGATGTTTGACATTTTAATATAATTTAATGTAGTTTATTAATCTCTATTTAAATATACAATTTAATTCTATAAATTAAACTTAAACTTAAAACAAAGTAAGACACAATGTCAAAATTTCGAAATTATTTATCTTGAATTAATTTTTTGTAAACGGACCTCTTGTACTAACAGTGCAATGTATAAATTTTAAAACAATTTATTTTATAAAATAAAATTATGAACTTACGAATTAGGTTGTTGTGGTTGCTGTTGATAGGTTTGTGGTAGTGGAGCATTACTATACTGCTGCTGGGTAGGTGGACAATAAATTTGTTGTTGCTGTTGTGAATCATAATTTTGATATGTTTGATTGTACTGCTGTGGTGTCTGATCATATGGAACTTGTGGTTGCATTTGTTGTTGATTGTATTGTTGTCCTTGAGTATATACCTGCTGTGATTGTTCATAAGCTTGAGATTGGTTATGATATTGAAGTTGTCCCTGTTGAAGTGTAATGTGGTTAGGTTGTTCTTGCCGATTAAATGAATTTTGATCATTGCGCATAACTGGCCTATTAGGTTGATTTCGAACTTTTTGTTGATAAAAACTATTGTTATCCATTGATTTTATCTTTTTGGTAACTTGCTGTTGAAATGATGGTCTTTTGTTTGACATATTTTGTTTAATATTAGTGTTACCAGATTGTCTGGTACTGGTTGTAATTTGGTCAATATCATTTAATTGATTATTATTTGAGGTACCTGTTCGAGATAAAAAAAAAATAAAAACTTAGTTTTTTATTTATGTTTATATTTAAGTATAAGCAAATATTAGCAGATTATTAGGTTCTTTAAAATTTGAAATATGATTCTAATATGCGCTAAAAAAAAAACCACAAAAATAATAAAAACCTAAAATCTGTTTTTATACATAAAATATACATTGTCTTATTATAATAAATAAAAAAATTAATCCATTCATGTTTTCATGTTTTTTAATAATTGAGCCATAGTGAATTAAGTAATCTAATACCAAATAATTTTTTTTTCAGTAAATCAAAAAAAGGAACATTCCATTTTCCATAGGGTCTATTTACAACTCAGTGTTCGGTATTCATTTTTAAAATAAAAATAATTATTGATGCTCAATTTCTTTTCATAATATTACCTATAATATTTATGTGTAGATTATTTTAATATAATAAAACTTTTTTAAAACTATTTGTATTAATATTTTAAAAGTTATGAAAAATATTATAGTGAAGACTGAAAATAAAATGCAAGTGTTATTAATTTTATCACTAGTCATTTCTTGGCCTCACTCTTCCTCTTGCCTAAGTATAAAAACTTCCAAAGAACTGATCCAAAAGTTGTTATCTACCAGTTATTAAAAGATTACTTTCTATTTTATAGAAAATAAAATATTTATTGCCATTTGAAAAAATAAATAAAATATGAAGAATACATAAAAAATACTTTATGATTGATGAATTGAAAAAAAATATGTATCTTAAAGAAACCAAAACAAAAATTTCTCAATATTACTTTTATTTTTTAATTAATTAATAAGTACCTCTATTATTCTTCATAATGCGAGCCTTATTTGATTGAAGAAGAGGCTTCGGGAAAGTTTGTGATAACAATGATGGAGGAGATGATTTTTGCTGTGAACTTTTTGAATTTTCAGATGATTGCACTTTTATTTCATACTCATTGGTGCCACTAAAAAAATTATAATTTAATTACATAATATAATTTTAATATCAATACTTCTGAAAGATTTTTATGGTTACAATAATTGTTAAAACCAGGGATTAAATCAAAATTATTATGTTATAAGTTTTAAATAATTGAAATGTTATAGATTTATAATATAATCAGTTTTTTTGTATTTAAACAATATCAATTTTTTATATTTAACGTTTTTTGAAGTTTTAACATTATTGATAATTTTTACCTTATAGTTTTTATGTTAAGAAAACTGGGTTGTTTGCACTTATATTTTCTATAAATTTATTATATCTTATATGTTATAACAAATCATCAATGTTTTAATTTTTTAGTTTATCTTTACAGGTCTTTTTTTACATATAAAACATAAAAAAACATATGTTTATTTATGTTTTACAATTAAAAATTTTTTTTTAGTAGTTATGACATTATAATCATAATTTTATGAAAACAAATTGAAGACTTGGTTTTAATATAGTAAAGCTACATTTAGCTTTACTACAACACGAAGGAGTAGTAAAAAGAGTTTTTACACCATTATTTAATATTAAGTATTTTATTTAAATTTAAATGTTTAAAATGGCATTTCTTTGTAATAATTTTTTTTCTATATCATACAAAATTTATTAATATGTAGACCTGTTTAATTATAGATAATTATTTAATGACAAATATTTAATTAAATAAATCAAAAGAATTTAATTATTGTATAGAAATTATTTCATTTATTACTCGAAAAGTAGAATTATATTAAAAATCATTGTCAAATATCTGACTGTATACTTAAAAAATTATTTCTCAATATTTATATTTAGAAACAACAAATATTTATTAAATTTATAATTATATTAATTACCAGCAATTAAACTCAGCTCGGACCACATTTTTAATTTCAATTACAAAAAGTAAATTTACTAGTTACTTGCATGCTAACTAATGTTTAGTAATTCTGTTTTATTAAAAATTAATTAAATGAGTTTTTAGAAAAACAATTTTTTTTAACTAAAATTAAATTTTTAAGTTTTATCTTTTAAATGTTTATAAAAGTAAGAAATGAAAAATTAAAAAATTATTACACTTTTTTATGTTTACCGTTAATCTATATGTATGTTTTATTAAAATATTATTAATATTATAAAAATATTACATATAAAAATAAAATAATAATCTTACTTGCGATCAATTGTAATTTCTGTATTTGAAACATTATGAGGGCCATGATTTTTACCTTCAGAAGATATTAATTTCATCCCTGGTGGTATAGATCTTGGTCTTAAATGTAGTGGTATACTACGTAATACATGAGGAGGCAATAGCATATTTCTCATTGGTGCTATCCTAGGCATCATACCTCTAGAACCTATTATAGGCATCATTGGATGTCTCATCATACGTGTAGGGTGGCGAAATGGCCTAGGTAAAAAACCTGGTGGTAAACCTCTCATCATTACTGGTCTACATAAACATAAATTTTATAGTTTTATGCTCAAAACAAATACATCAAAATTATTATATATATATATCATACAAACCTTGGAGGAAAACCGGGTAACCTGGATCTCATCAAATGAGGGGGTGGCATTCTAGGACGAAGAACAGGAACTTCTTCTAAATCCATAACTATTTATATTCTGACTAATATTAGCTAAACTAAAATCAAATAAAAGGTAAAATTATTTTTAGTTATGTAAAAAAATATAATTTAGAACTAAAATCTGAGCGATTGTAATATTTTTTAGAAGTAGGAGGTGGATGGGCATTATTATCTCCTTATAGAAATAGTCATGATTAATTAAGAATAGAAATTCTACGGGTTCAAACATATCATTCTTAATGCTATTCAATGACTCCAATATTACAAAAAACTTGGACAGACTAAAAATGTTTCTCAAATAATTTGAATATTCTAATGTTTTTAGTACATTTAAACTATCTTTTTAAGTTGGATATAAACTTCATTATTAATTAAGTTCTCTTAATTTAATATACTTTTAGTTTGTAAAACAAAAAATATATACACACCATGAAAGTTGAGATTCCTTAAAAAGTTTTTATATAGCAAAAAATGAAGCAGAAAAATATATAATCAGAATTTCATCAGGTTAGTTCATTACCCAATTTTTAATGCAAGTAATAATCACTGTTGTCGAATGTATAAAACTATATGATACATTTTAAGTACTGTTTATTAATTTAAAATTTTGTATTCCAAGTAAAAATAAAATTTTTTTAAGTTAAATTTTATAAAAGAAACTGAAGTATTATTAATGCAAAATTTTTATAAATATTTTAATACAATTTTTTAAACACGTAAATATTTTATAAATAATATCCTCAAAATTTAGCCTGTTGCTAAATGTTGCCTTATGAGAAAATGAGTATTGATTAAATAAAAAAAACACTTACATAAACAAACAAAAATATCCAGAACTTAAAATGTAGACAAATACAAGGAATAGCAAAAAAATTATTCTTAAAAATTCAAATTACTTATTAAAATATAATTATCAATATTAGATTGATTGCCAACTAATGATTCTTCTTAAGATAACATTCATTCACATATAGGCGCAAAATAAACAACAAATATAATGATAAAATTATATCTTTACAAGTATATCAAGTTAACTATAATAAGTACGATAAAATGTTTATCTTATACTTACTCTGTGAAAGAGCTGTTATGATTACGAGAAACTATGAAATCCAATCATACTTTTAAATATTTTAGTGGAAGAACTATTACAATTTTGGACAAATCAGTGATAATAATGAATTAAAAAGAGTATGTAATGGGCTAAGTTAACCATGTAAATATTTTACACATGATATATTATTCCAATACAAATCATTCAACTATTATTACACCACTAGAAGCACTGTTTTCCGGTATAAGTTAATGATAAAAATGTTCAATCACATATATCGCTGCAATCGCAGAGTAGAAAGAAGTTGTATTCATAGTTGATATAAAATAATTTTTTGATCTTTGAGAAATGGAGTTAGTAAGTGTTTGTAGTATTGTCTAATTGTTTTTAAGAGTATTACGACATTTTGCGTAAAAATTTACGTTTAATTTAATTAAAAGCTTTTCCCCAATATTTAATTGTTTATAAAAATTGGACCAGTTGCACAGGGGACTAAGTTAATGTCGAAAATGTAGTAGATAATGTTGAACGAAAAATTGATATAAATGCGATAATAGTTCACATTGCGCAAAAACGCACATGTGTTGAATATACGATTATCTTTCTACAGCATTTAAGCAAATGTGAAGAATGAATGACTATTTCTAAACTACTTTTTTTTTAATTTAGTAATTTGTGTTTTTTTTAATGATGTCTAGTTCGGATAGCGAGATAGAAAGTGATGAAGAATATAATAAGTTATATTCAGATTCTGATGCTGACGACAATGATCTGCCGAAATGGTATGACGGTCTACCATCATTTGGTACCTTCACAAATTTACCACAATCTGAAATTCAAGCCCTTCGAGTTGAAGCAGAAAAAATTTTGGAACATCAACCTAAGATTGATCATAAAAAGTCATGGATTACTGAGATAGCTAAGCAAGGTACATACTCTGACAAAATTGCTGCACTTACTATCAAAATTCAAGAAGATCCTTTTCATAATATAAATGCATTACAAAATCTTATTAACATGGTTAAAATTGGTAAAAAACAACAGTGTTCTCTTGTGATTGATTCCTTAACAGAGTTGTTTACTAGAGTTTTATTGAAAATGGAATTACTCATATTTGAAAATCAACCCTTAAGTGAATTATCCAGATTAGATGACTTAAAACAGCGAAAATTATTATTAAGTGCTTGGTTATTTGAAGATAAATTAAAAATTATGTATAGTAATTTCATTGATGCATTGAGTGCAGTTGGATTAGATTCTGTCCCAATAAACCGTGAAAAAAGTATATCTGCAATGTATAAATTATTGATAAGTAGTACTGAATGTGAAATGCAAATAGTGAGGTATGTTGTTAACAAATTTGGGGATACTGTTCACAAAGTAGCTTCAAAAGCTATGTATACCTTACGTCTTGTTGTAAAAAACAGACCAAGCCTAAGTAATGTTGTATTTGAGGAGGTTAGAAAACTTCTTTTCCGTTCCAATATAAAACCTAGGGCCCAATATTATGGGATTTGTTTTTTAACTCAAATTGATACTAAAGAAATAGCTAAAGATGTAATAGAATTATATTTGTCATTTTTCAAAGCTTGTGTTAAAACTGGAGCTATTGATTCGCGTCTGATGGGTGCTTTGTTAGTTGGAGTAAATAAAACATATCCATTTATTAGAAGTGGTATTCAAGAAGAACAATTACAAACCATGTATAAAATTGTCCATTTAGCACCATTTAACATATCTTTGCAAGCTTTACTTTTAATTAAACAGTTAGAAAATAATGATAGATTTTATAGTGCTCTTTATAAAAAAATATTTGATGAAAGTTTGATAAATACATCTCATCAAGGCATTTGTATACATTTAATTTACAAATCTATGTGGGATGATAAATGTCCAGAACGCTTAATTGCTTTTATGAAACGTATTTACCAAATGTGTCTATATTGTCCAATTCCATTTGTTTGTGGAATATTTTGTATGACTTCGCGATTAATGAAAAAACACAAAGGTTTAATTGGGAAATCTAAGTTTGAAGAAGTAACAATTGAAGCTCCTCCTAAGCCAATCATATTAAATGAAGCTTTGATTAAAGAAGAAGACGAAGATGATGAAAAATATTTTGATGCCCAAAGTAATGAAGTTAATGAAAACCATCAGTCACAGTCATCATCTTGGTATCATATTAAAGCACCATTAGAGATTAAACCATCAGAAGAATCGGGTAAGTCCCAAGAAAATGTTCCCAAAATCAGAGAAGAAAAAAATTTCTATGATATTACTGCTAGAAACCCAAGATTTGCAGGGGGTGAACATGCTATCTTATCAGAATTAATTCCTTTAAGTCGTCATTATCATCCTACTGTTGCAACATTTGCATCTAGAATAATTGCTGGTAAATCAATTTATTATGATGGGAACCCATTAGCAGATTTTACAGTATTACATTTCCTGGATCGTTTTTCATTTAAAAACCCTAAAAAACCTAGAGAAAGAGATGACAAAGAAGAATTATTTAGGTCTGTAGGGTCTTCAAAAAAACATTATGTTCCTAAAGGTTTGAAAAGCATGTCAGTAGTTAGTGAAGAATATTTAAGACATGAAGAAAAACAAATACCTTTAGATGAAGTCTTCTTATACAAATACTTAAAGCAAAGACCTAAAAAAGATAAAAAAGAAGTCGAACAAGATGTAGATGGTTTTAGTGATGTGGATAGTGTTAATAGTGATGATTTCAATGAATTATTAGATGGAATGATGGGTAAAAAAAAAAAAAAAAAGTTTGACTTTTCTAGAGGTTTTGAGAAAAAATCTAAAGCAAAAAAATCTCGTGAAACTGTGGATGATGATTCTGAAAGTGGTGAAGATGATGAATTTGTTGTACCTACTAAATCAAAAAATTTAGCTGATCTTGCTGTGCCTGCTGAAAAGTTTGCTGCCATGTTAGATGAAGCTGGTAAAAAGAAATCTGGAGGGAAAGATGATATTTTTATTCGTGATAATGCATCAGCCAAACAATTGGAATGGGAAAAAAAGAAATTTAGTGGAAAAAAACGAAAACGGTTAAATGATGGAAGAAAAAATAGAAAGCGCAATCGAATATGAAATTAAATTTAACACTTAATAACATTTACAAAACAGAAATTATATTTGTTTTATTATTCATGTATACATATTGTGTTATTATTTTATCTTGTAACTAATTCTTTTCAAAAGTTACTGCATTTACTGCTAACATTCATAAAATTTTCTATGTGTGATTCATTGATTTATTCATCTTAATATGTATGTAAAGTAGTGACAGATCTACAAGAGGTCTGGACCCTTCCCAGACATTAATATTTTTACATTATACACATAAATGTAGGGTAAGACTGATAAGTATTCCAAGTAAATTTTATTTTTTGGAACCCTTCCCCCAAAAAGTGTAGAGAAACTACCACTGATGTGAAGGTTTGATTATAGAAGCTAAAAGAATTACATATATTATATAACAAAGAAAAAAATAACCATGATTGTACAAGTATTGTCTAGAAGGAAATAGTAAGAATTAAAGAAATTTTATCTAGGACGTATGTTCCTAAAATGCTGACACTTTTATATGTATCTTAAATCGAAGTGTATGTAATATACTATAATATGAAAAAAATAACTTCGATCTTTATATTGTCATAATGGCTACTGTTTTTAAAAATATGCTATTTTTGTATTAAAATTCTCGATTTTATATATCTATAACATTTTTGTATTAAAATACCTTACAAGGGTTTGCCACAATAATGAGTCCACCGATTTTTATAAAAGTTACATGAATCTAACTTAAATTGAATATAAATTTTGACTTATTTGAATATTTTGCATCCTACGTGAAAGAAACGACTTTGAATTTTCCAACTGGTTTAAATTGTCCTTTTTATCTAGAAATATGTGTACTGTCGTCGAAAAATTCACACATCAGTTTTTTACACTCGAGATACGACATACGATTCTTTCTGTTGAAGGATTTTTCTAAATACTTTTTGGGTTGGAAAAAAATCAAAATTCGTTTAATTTTTATCTTATTATGATTGAATAATTGCAACTATATTTTTTTCATGGTCTCTTTTTTTGACATTATTATCAATTTATAAAAACAAGTATTTACATTTAAAAATTGATTTTTATTTTTAATATGTTAAAAATAATCCATACAAAATTTCGATTTCAAATGCCATGTTTATCCTATTCTTTTTGTCTTTTAAAGTTTTTTATGAAAATTTATAATTTAAACTTAAATATAAATATAATGTTATTATAATGTTAAACTTTAAACATTATTTTTAGTTAAAATTGCAAGTCTAAAATTGATATCATTAAACACAATATCTTATGAAGATTTCAAAAATGGTTTTTTTAGATTGATATATGATCAGAAACTTATATAATTACTATTATCAGTAAATTTTTGAAAAGAGACTAAAATTTCGTTTAAATTACTTGTTATATTTTTTGTATTTATATCGTAATAAATAATTTCTATGTAACTTTTGATGTTTAAATAGATGATCAAATTGAAATATTCAGAAATATATTCATTATAGTTATATCCTATAGTTTTTAGCTTCGATGCGAAGCTGAGAAGGTATTAATTTTACTATGATGTGTTTTTTTATTTTTTTATTTTTTTTTTTGTGTCTGTGAACGCTCAATCTCAGCTCTCGCTGGACCGATTTTGATGAACAATATGTCAAAAGATCACAAATCGTATCTAGTCGAAGACATTACCCTCAAAAATTGAAAAAAATTCCCTCGTTCCCCGTAAACGGGGGAAATCCCCCAAAAAATTACAAATTTAAAAATCGCTAATTTTCGATATTTTTTCAATTTTTTTTACTTAAAATTGC